TGCAAAAACATTTTAAAAAGACCAAGGGTCGAGGAGATAGCTCAGTAGAATAAACGCTTGCCTGGGAAGTGCATGGTCCTGAGTTCAATCACTAGTACTGCAGGAAAAAAAAGAAGACCAAAAAGTCTGATAATCATTTGTAGAAAGCAAACAGAAAAACAAAGCAAAGGGAAAAAAAAAAAAAAAAAAAAGATCTGAGACTTTTAGACACAACCCTATGAGAAAAAAATATCTTTTACCAGTTCGTACTGAGTTGCTTTCAACAATACTTCCACTACCATTGTCTTATGGAAGCTTACTGCTTACTCTTTTTCTTGTAAGGCCAGTAGGGTCTGGATTTGGATCACTGCATCCTTCTTGAATGTGAAGAACCTTAAGGGGTCCTAGAAAGGGAGAGGCTACCCTTCCTCTGGCAGTCTATTCACTGTGCTTCCCACAACCACAGGGACCAAAAACTTAACTTTAAGACACTTCTTGGAAGACTAGCACCAGAGCAAGTTAACCAGATAAAGGATTCCAACTCCAGCAAGTGGGTGGGATATTACATAAACATATTTGTATTAGGTCAGTCAATCACCAGGACACCAAGATCTGCTGCTTCTGCCAACTGCTTTGAGGTCATTTAAGTATGGCAGAAACTTCAGTCAGCCCTTCCTTTTTCTGCTCTTTGACACTGTCCTGTATCCTTTCTATTTAATATGGTGTGGATAATGAGAGCATGCTAAAGCCCTGTCATCTCAACAGAGTTCTCCAGGTAGGATAAGGCTAAAATTCAGCCAGGTGTGGTAGTGCACACCTATATAATCGCAGCATTTTGAAGCTGAGGCAGGAAGATTGCTGAGTTCAAGGCCAATCTGGATTGCATAATCAGACCCTGTCTCAAAAACAACCCCCCTCCCCCGAAAAAGAATATCAAATGTGCAGAAAAGAAAAAGTATGTATTCAATAGGGAATGGGGTATAACATATAGACAAAGCAAGTGCTTAGTAGAGTGTGAAGCCTGGATTTACAGTCCTCTCCATCCCCCAAGAAAAAGGATTCAATAGGAAGTTTATTATGCTCACATCTTCTTGTTTCCTGGCATGTTGGAAACAATCCTTAGGGGTTTTTTTGGATTCACTGTGTAGAGGTCTGATTGCTTTTGCCTTAAAATTGGGATTTGCTGACATATTTTGGCCAGCTTCTTTAGATCTGTTTCTGAATGCAGGACCATTTCTTCAGTGCCAGCTTTGGCTATGACTTTGCCCCAAGGATTCACAGTGGTGCCATGTCCCCAGCTCAGTCCTTTTTAATTTCAACTTTTTCATTTTGAGACGGGATCTAACTAGGTTGCCAGGGTGTCTTCACTCTAGCAATGCTACTTCAGCTTCCCAAGCAGCTAGAACTTCAGGCATACAATATGTCTGGATAGGACCATCACTGTTAAGGTTTTGTATTGATGGTACTTAAACCTGTTTTTCCCCCCTCAATATCTCTTTACATGAAATGTGGAAGTTCACCATCTTGGGCATGGGTGAGTGTCCACTGAATTGGAAAGAATCTCTTGGGACAGCAGATTGGTAGAGGCTCTTTTTTCCTCATGTAGGTTGTGTTTTACAAAAATGCAAGCCAAGGAAGGCAGTCATCAGAGGAGTCAGTTAGTCTTCCAGCAGACCAGCAGTGTTTATTTTTGGAACAGTGCTCATCTTTTAGCCACCGTTATATTCCTGTTACTTACAAAAATTTATCTGTGCCATGGGAGTCTAGGTTGACATTTATTTTTTATTTTTTATTTATTTATTTGTGTGTGTGTGTGTGTGTGTGTGTGTGTGTGTGGCCAGCTCAGCCCACCAGGGGGCGGGGCTGGCTGGCATGTGGTGCTGGGGGATTGAACCGCGGTCCCTGTGCTTTGCTAAACTTGTTCTAAGTAGGTGCTTTAGACCACTGAGCCATCTCACCAGCCCAACATTTCTTAATTACCATTATTTATGTATTAGACTTTAATTTTGGAGGGGGGCTTTTTTGAGACAGGGTCTCCTTATGTAGCCCAGGCTGGCCTCACATGCTGCAATTCTTTTGCCTCAGACTCCTGACTGCTGGAATTACAGATGTGGGCTATACCCCTGGCTAGATTTTTTATTTTTATTTATTTATTTATTTGTGTGTGTGTGTGTGTGTGTGTGTGTGTGTGGCCAGCTCAGCCCACCAGGGGGCGGGGCTGGCTGGCATGTGGTGCTGGGGGATTGAACCGCGGTCCCCTGTGCTTTGCTAAACTTGTTCTAAGTAGGTGCTTTAGACCACTGAGCCATCTCACCAGCCCAACATTTCTTAATTACCATTATTTATGTATTAGACTTTAATTTTGGAGGGGGGCTTTTTTGAGACAGGGTCTCCTTATGTAGCCCAGGCTGGCCTCACATGCTGCAATTCTTTTGCCTCAGACTCCTGACTGCTGGAATTACAGATGTGGGCTATACCCCTGGCTAGATTTTTTATTTTTATCAATTTCACATTGTGTGTGTGTGTGTGTGTGTGTGTGTGTGTGTGTTCATATATATATATGAACATGTGCTGTTAAGAGCAGGATGGTGTCTCAATTCTGTTCATTTAAGAATCTGTCAATTCACTTTTTAAATTCTGAAATGGTTATTGAATTGATGATAGAAGTGATGACATGAAGTGGTGATTACAGTGCTGATAACACATGGGAAAGAGAGAAGTAGAAGAGACCAGAAATGACCGGAGAATTAAATCTTACATTGCTTGCTGCATGTGCTCTCTTGAGATTTTAGGACTCTAAACTGTGAATCACTAATGAACACTTTTTTTTGGGGGGGGGGTGGAACTGAGGATTGAACTCAGACCCTTGCGCTTGCCAGAGAAGTGCTTATTCTACTGAGCCATCTCCCTGGCCTGATGCACATTTTTTAATCTCTTTTCCTCCACAGCATAGGAAATAACATAACTAGATTAATTTTGTTGTCATAGCAATAGAAAGTTTTTCAAAATATGTTGCTAAAGCACACATTCCTTGGCTTACAAATTTTTGATGTCAAAGAGTAGGTCATTTCTTAGTCTTTGTTCATTAATTGAGCCATAATGAGTAGTACTTAATTTTCTAGGCACATGGCATGTCATGCCTTCTTTTCTTACAGCTACACTTTCTGAGGGTTTTGTTTGTGTGCAGTGAGGGAAGATTGGTTTGTATGAATCTTGGAGAACAAAGAAAATGGATAGCTTTGGAATTTAGATTACAGGCTTGGTTTGCATGTTTCAGATAAAAAACGAGAGGAAATGAATTTTTTTCTTAATAGCAGGATAAAGGGATTATGCTACAGTGCAGCCGAGTTCTTACTATAGACTACAGGGAAGATTATGTATAGATGATGCATAGTCAGGTGTCTTTGTGTTTAAGAGTAACTATTGCTTGGGTGAGAATAGAACAAATTCTCAATAAGGTGTTTTCTCGGCTGTGGAAGAAATGTGGAAATAACTTTATCAGAATATTTTTAATACTATTCAAATGGATTTTTAGAATTTTATACCACTTTCTGTAAAGACAGAAATAACAAGTTGAACTTAAAATAACTGAGGAGCAAATCACCAGAATAGTAGTTGGCTAGGGCTGCCAAAACAAAATGCCACGGACTGAGTGACTCACACAAAGGAAACGGATTTGTAAGGTGCTGGTAGGGTTGGTCTTTGAGCCTTTCCTTTGGCTTGAGATGGTTACCTCTTTCTGCCTTTTTAGATAGTGATGGTTCAGGAACACCCTTGGTGTTTTCTTTTCTTATGTAAGAACATCAGTTATATTGATTAGAACTCTATCTTAGTGACCTCATTTAACTTAATAAGCTCTTTAAAGATGTGTCCACATCCAGTTACATAATCAAAAACTGGGAGTTGAGACTTTAATACATGAATTTGGGGAGAACACAGTTCTCCCTTATGTTGATAGTAGGTAATGAAAACAGTTTCAAGAAAGAAGACAAATACAATTACATATTTTTTTTTCCTTTTTACTTAATAAGATTTATGTAGTAGTGCAATCGTTGTGTTTTGTCATTGTGTGTTTTCTAGCCGAAGAATTTTCATCCTCGGGCCTTCGCATCATGTGCCCCTCTCGCGGTGTGCACTGTCTAGTGTGGATATATACAGGACACCTCTCTATGACCTGCGCATTGACCAAAAGAGTAAGTGTACAGAAATTTTACAGCTTTCAAACAGCTGTGTTCTTTTGGTAGGAATTGTAATTTAATTTAAAACTGAAAACAAGTCATAAATTGTGTCTCAGTTTTAAAAATGAAATTAGTTTTTACTGATATGCAGTAAATGAGAACAAAGAGAAGAATCTCTCATTTCCTTAAAAGATAACTAGTGTTGAACCAGGCATGATGGTAGCCATTAGTTCTAGCTAGCTTGGGCCACAGAAGTTAATTCAAAGCCTCCTGTGCACTCTGTAGTGAGACCCTGTCTCAACAGAACAGAACAAAACAAAAAAAACCTCTAGTGTTTTCCTGTTACCTACAAAAATCTGTGAGTTTCCAGACTGTAGAGGTTAAATTTGTATTCAGGGATGTACCATGTACTCATGGTACCTTGAGAGGAGAAATGAGTATCCACACCAAATTTGATGAAATGGCCATGATATCTTACTTCTTTGTATATCAGTTTTTCTCACTGTAAATAGGTAATGACGATAATATCTTTGTTTCTTTGGTATGTATTTTTTAGGAGAAAAAATGAGCCTGTAATTGTAAAACTCCGAAAGCCTTCCCTTTCCCTCTTCTCTCTTCACTTCTGTCTCCTACTCACCTTTCTTTTTCTTTCTTACTTTTGTCTTTCTTGATCTGAACCTGGGGCTTCACCTCAGCTACTTCCATAGCTCTTTTTTTATTTTGAGATAGGTCTAAGTTGCTAGGTTGCCCAGACTGGGCTTCAATTTGTGATCCTCTTGCCCCAGCATCACAGAATACTGGGATGACAGGTGTGCATTACCATGCCCTCCTTATAGTTTACTTTTTTGCATGGCTATCATTTTAAGATACAATATTTACTTATTTACCATTAGATCCTAGAAGTCAAAGTTTTATTTAGGTTTTCTTGCACAATAGTTATAAAAACTTTTGATCTTATTATTTTTTTAGGGAGGAGGGAGAATAAATTAAAAAATACAGAACAGTATAGAGCAGTGGGTTGTTTGTAGCTTTGAGAGATCTAAAAGCTTTGCTGTCACTGATACAGAGAATGGTACATCAAATACTGATGCACTTGTTGTCCTGTTTCCAGAGCTTTCTCGCATTTGAACTCAGTTTACCTTCACCAAATTAACTACAAGTTCATGGGTGAACTTGGTTATGTATCTTTCAGTTTGTTTTATTATTTTTAAAGTATGTTTGGGATGCTATTATTGTTTGAGTTAACTTTGCAGCAGTTTCTTCTGTAAAATGAAAGTTTACATTTGCAGAAACAAAATCACTAGCTCTTTTTTTATTTTAAGGCTCTATATCCGTAGTACGAATATTTGAGTATCATAGAGATAACAGTTTGTTGTTAGAATGCATTTTATTAATGAAACTGGAGCATTACTAGCTTTACACCTTGAGGTGGTCTAAGGGAAAATACTGTCCTTTTAAAAGTTCATTGGCCCATTCAGAAAATTGGAGTTTTGGATAGTCTGAAAATAAAAAAAAAGAATAAATTTAAAAATATTAATGCTTTTATTTTTTAAGAATATTTAGTTATTGATTAATTTGTTTGGTACGGGGTCTCGCTGTGCACCTCGGACTCATAGTGATTTTCCTGTCTGGGGTTCCATGGCATGTGGTACCAGGGATGGGAACCCAGGTCCTTGCACTTGCCAGGCAAGCCCTTCGACTGCTGAGCTCTCTCCCCAGCTCAGAAATGGATAATTTTTAACCAAGTGTAATTTTGTGGAAAAGAGATTACATTGCCATTTCTTTCTTTGGTGTTGGTAAATACATTTAAAGATTTAAAATAATTTTATATCATGTTTTTTATGTGCCAGATTCCATTTTTTCTTGCTTTGCGATGTCCATTTTAAATACAGTTTATTCAGAAAGGTGTTTTCTGTTTTATTTTGAGACGGGCTCTCATTATATAGTTCAAGCTGGCCTCAACTTGTGATTCTCTTGCCTCAGCGTCCTGGTGGCTGAGAGACTCTTAGGTGTAAGCCTTCATGCCCAACTAGCAGGAAGTTAGTGACAACTACTAGGTCATTTTAAATTGACATGGTACTGTGATGAGTTTATGGTTACAAATTTATAGTTATACATTTTTTAAAAATTTCTTTTTATTTTTTGAGACAGTCTCACTATGTAGTCCAGGTTGGCCTTCAGCATTCTCTGTAAACCAAGCTGACCTTGAACTAGTAATCCTTTTGCCTCAGCCTCTCAAGTACTGGGATTACAGGTGTGTGCTGCTGTGCCCACCTCC